TCATATGGGACCCGTTCCAAACCCCTAATCATTTTAGTTGCCCTTTTCTGAACCCTTTCCAAGGCCAAAATATCTTTTTTGAGGTGAGGAGACCACATCTGTACACAGTATTCAAGATGTGGGCGTACCATAGTTTTATACAGGGGCAGTAAGATATTCTGTGTCTTATTTTCTATCCCTTTCTTAATAATTCCTAGCATTCTATTTGCCTTTTTGACCGCCGCTGCACACTGTGTGGAAGTTTTCAGAGAACTGTCCACGATAACTCCAAGATCCCTTTTCTGATTTGTTGTAGCCAAATTAGCCCCCATCATACTGTACGTATAGTTGGGGTTATTTTTCCCGATGTGCATTACTTTGCATTTATCCACATTAAATTTCATTTGCCATTTTGTTGCCCAATCACTCAGTTTGGTGAGATCTTTTTGGAGTCCCTCACAGTCTGCTTCTGTCTTGACTATCCTAAACAGTTTGGTATCATCTGCAAACTTTACTACCTCACTGCTTACCCCTTTCTCCAGATCATTTATGAATAAGTTGAAAAGGATTGGTCCCAGGACTGACCCTTGGGGTACACCACTAGTTACCCCTCTCCAATCTGAAAATTTACCATTTATTCCTACCCTTTGTTTTCTGTCTTTTAACCAGTTCTCAATCCAAGAAAGGACCTTCCCTCTTATCCCATGGCCATGTAATTTACACAAGAGCCTTTGGTGAGGGACCTTGTCAAAGGCTTTCTGAAAATCTAAGTATATTATATCTACTGGATCCCCCTTGTCTGCATGTTTGTTAACCCCTTCAAAGAACTCTAATAGATTAGTAAGACATGATTTCCTTTTACAGAAACCATGTTGACTTTTGTCCAACAAATTATGTTCTTCTATATGCCTCACAATTTTATTCTTTACTATTGTTTCGACCAATTTCCCCGGTACTGAAGTTAGGCTTACCTGTCTGTAATTGCCAGGATCGCCTCTAGAGCCCTTTTTAAATACTGGTGTCACGTTGGCTACCTTCCAGTCATTAGGTACGGAAGGTTACAAAGCACAGATAATAGTTCAGCAATTTCCCATTTGAGTTCTTCTAGAACCCTTGGATGAATGCCATCCGGTCCCGGAGATTTGTTAACGTTAAGTTTTTCTATTTGTTCCAAAACCTCCTCTCATGACACTTCAATCCGGGACAGTTCCTCAGATTCATTACCCACCAAGGATGGTGCAGATTTGGGAATCTCCCCAATGTCCTGACCCGTGAAGATTGAAGCAAAGAAATCATTTAGTTTCTCCGCAATGGCTTTATCATCCTTGATTGCTCCTTTTAAATCTTATAGTATTTGCTGAATATATGGAAGTGCTATTTAATAGTCATACAATGATAATAGTCTGGTATATATTATGGATGAGTGAGTTCAGTTTGAATAGGGCAGCTTGAAAAAGTCTAATAATTTATGGGCCAGACGCCTGGCAAGGGATCCATCATACCTATTATTTAAAAAGAATCCCACAGTAATTGGTCTGAGTTACTGTGCCTTCAGTGTGAGATGACCATATTTGAGAAGAGTAAAATAAACGGCAAGAGGAAAAGCACAACCATGGCAATAAAAACAGCAGAAAAAATAGTAGTGCAGGCAAAATAAAGCATTAGGAAAACCAAAAACCAAGTCTCTGTCCTGCGTCTTAACATAAAAATGGATGTAAATGTAAATGCCATGGGGTGGTCCATTAAGTTCACTTCACACTGCTTACATGATATAATGAGAGTTTAAAATACTCAGAGATTTCACTAGAGAATTCCTGTGTAAGGGGAATCTTCATCAGAACTAAGCTGGCAGAGGCTCCTTAGCACATCTTCTCCAGTACAAGAGGCCCACAAAAAGGCTGTGGCAGAGCAAGGCTGTTGGTGTGAGACTTTATGCCAGTGGCTTAAGTTAAATTGCCCTGCCAGCCTTAATTTACTCCAGGGATGGGTGGCTGAGGACTGGGATTTGTTGTTGTTTTGTTTTTTTACAAGCTCCCCTTTTACTGTCGTGACAAATAGGAGGGATACTACCCTTTTCTGGACATCCCAGCCATTCAATTAATTAAATTAATTCCCCAGGAATGCTAGGGAAACAAGAAGTATTGGCAGGAGCCTAGGAGAACTAATTAAAACAGAGTGTGTGTTTTTGAATGGGAAACAGTGATCTTCTTGCTGCAGTCTGTAACCAGAGGAGAGCCGGAAGTCATGGATTGAGCCAAGAATAAGGTTGGAAATATCCAGTGATATCCATGCCTAGGGAAGGGCTAAAACTTAGAACAACAGATATATGAGTAGAAAAGGGAATGTTTAATCATACTCAATCAGGTTATTAATTTTTTTATTATTATTTTGGGGTTGTTGGGCTTCTCTGTGCTGAGCCCATGTGACTCTCCCCCCTCTCTACACTATAATCTTTAAACTGAATCTCAGGGAAGCAATTCTCTGAATTGTTAATCTTTCTTTTTTTCAGTTGCTTTGTGGTAACACCTAGAAGCCAAGTATGTTTTCTTTGTTTTGTTAATAAAAATTACCTTTTTAAGACCATGATTTGATTCCTGTATTTTAGAAGGCAGGAAGTTCTGTGTACGCACATGCCTAAAATTGCAAGGCCAGCTACTAAGAAATTACAGGTGTTTTTTTAAGCTCTCTCTAGGGAGAGGATTCAAGAGCTTAAGGGTACCCTACAAGAAGAAATTCCTAAATGCATCTTCCATGATTCTTAAAGGGGTTTTTACATTTGTGTGGTGGCAGCATATCATATGAGGTCAGGGAATCTGTGAGCTTGGAGAGTTTTTAAATAGAAGTTTTTAGTGGCAGGGGACACTTTCTGACTTGAAATTCCAGAGTGGGAAACAGCCATGGCAGCCATGCTTCCAAAACCACGGCAAACTTTTTTGGCCATAGCATGCAGACTTGAGACAACCAAAATCTGTAGTGAATTTAAGACAGATTTACCAAATTATTTAGTTGGGGGATAAAAAAGGAAAATATTTTAAAAAAATCAAAATGTTTCACTGCAACAATTTTGAAACAAAGCGTGATTTTTTTCAAAGTTCAAAACACCTTTTTATTTCATATTTCACAACAATGTATTGCTCTTACAAAAGGTAATAGCCCCCAAACTAAATAGAAGGTCTCATTCCAAGCAAAAGTGGTTTAATTTTACCTGAAATGAAATTTAAACAAACAAATAAAGATTCCATTTGGTCACTGACCCAACAAACTGGAAACGACCCCAAACTTTGAAGCATTAAAGCATTAAAAACAGATGAGGTGATGGGCAGTGGGACATTCAGGCTGCATTGTTTGCTAAGCCACAAACAAAGATAAGACACTTGGAATGGTTCCCACCCTTGTCTTTGTGTGTTTATACATGCAAAAATATAATTCAGAAAGGTGTGTATATCTGAGATAAGTCAGTTTTGATCTTTGAGTAAAGGTCAGAAGTGTAATCAATTTTTGTTTTAGATCTTTTGAACTTTCTTACTTTGTCATCTTATATTTTCAACTACAACTTTACCTAATTATTTTTATGCTTTCTTAATTTTTTGAAATATTTAGGGGTAAAATTAAATATAATACATTGATGGTGCATTCCCTTAGTGCACAAGAAACAGAAGTGGGTATTGTCTGTTTCAATAACTAGCTTTGTAGTTACATTTTTTCTAAACGGGCATACCATGGTATATTATCTGCAAATGGCTTTTCTTCAGAGGGAGCTAAAAATCACATAAATGAATGATAGAAACTTCAGGGTGAGCAGCATACTTCAGGGTGAGCAGCATATTGTAATCTTCATAACTGGGTGAGTTATGGATCACTATCAGGAACATTAGCAGTATAATAATCACTGTGTCATCTCTAATAGGTCTCAATTTAACAAGTCTCTTAATGGAGCAGGAACAAGCAGCCAAGGAAACTGGGAAATTCTTGTGTATTTGCAGTTTCTGCTTTTTCTTAACTTGAAAAGAGGATAAAAATGAAACCGACACATCTTCATGTGAGAGAAGTTTTGCAGAGTGTTTGCATGAGCCTTATTTATAAGTTGACAAATAAATATGTTTCCCTTAAAAATGCTGAGATTTACACATTTGTAGCTTTCACTCCCTAACAGTGAAATTACCTTAGAGAGACCCTTGCATTTATGTAGCCAATACACAGGAAATTATTGAACTGAAATGTCTCTGCGGAAGGCATTGTACTTTGAAATTTTTTAAAAAAAGTAATACATCTGTTCTCTGAACAGTTAATTGCTCACTTCTGAGCTTTGACTGTTTACCCTGCCTACCCATATTGCTTTCTGTCATTGGGTGTGGTGAATGTTTGATAAGTACCTGTTTATAGTTCACAGAAATAGCTGTGGAGAGTTAAAACAGTAGTAATATGAAACCAGTCTTGTTGGTGGTTTTTTTTTTTTTTTTAACTGGCCCGGAGGCTGAAATCTGCATGCCAGATGAAACCTGCAGCAAAGCGGAAGAAGACAGCTTGATATTTTTTATTCAGTTTCAAGGGCACTAAGTCTATTTAGTGTGTCCAGCTGAGAAATCTGAACACTCCAGAAGATCAAAAAGCTTGTTTTTGTTTGGCAAAGATTTTTGAAGTATTATTTTGTCTGGATTTTAACTTTACAGAGTTTTTGTGGTGCTGGATTTGTTAAAGGCAAAATAGAAAAGATTATATGAAATAAGCTTTCAGAAATTTTTGGCTTATATTCACAACCCTTGCGCTGGCATAAGGAAGTAGGAAACTGTAAATGCCAATCTTTCAGTTGAACAGGCTTTCGTTTATAGAGTTGCTCTTCACTTTTAACAAGTAGGAAGTTGTATGTAGCCAGTAGGATTGCAGGAATTGGGGCAGTGATCATTGGTGGAGTTTTCAGCTGAGATTACAGTGCTGGCAGATTTTTCCTGACAAAAAGCCTTTTGTATAAAGGAACAAGTAACGACGCTGCCGAAAACTTTCAATACCTTATGTCAATATGCGGAGCCTTCTTGTTTCTCTTGGATTGTCTGGACTTGTAAAATTTGACAAATAGTTTTAGTCCATGCTGCAGCACTGAAAACAGGAAAAGAGGGATGGTGTGACTTACAGGAGACGGGCTTCCCTGATGCTACCAAAAGAAGAACTCCCATTGCATTTCCTGTTGTAAGTTAACTTCTATGCAATTCTTTCTTAATTAATCATAATAACAAAAGTTAAAGCTACATTGTGCTTTGTCCAGCATGGAAGAAAATAATACTTCACCTGGCAGTGGTGAGTTTTCAGACCGGGGACATGCAACAGAGGCTGAACACAGCCAGCCTTTCTTCACTGCATTTTCTGTGAAAACACTTTTTGGATTTACTACTAAATTGGAACCTGTAACTTCAAAAAAACAAGCAGAGCTAAAGGCATTTCGAACTTTTGATGCTGATACAAAAACTGAAGCTGACAACCAAGACAAGAGTGGTGGTGTTGGTGATGATCTGGAAGTACATCATGTACTTCCCAAAACACATGAGGCTGACCCGGACGACTGTGGCCAGGCTGACCTGAATATGGAACTAGCTGAACAAAATGAATCACCTATTCCTTTATTAGAGTCTGTACAGCCTTCTTTCTCTGAACGCAACAGAGATGACAAACATGAGATTTTTGTACAAGGCACTTTGGTTTATAATACGACAAGTGATACAGAGTCAGACAGTGAGAGTACAGACCTAAACAGTGATGGAGATGAAACAAGCAAATCTGTGTTAAATAATGTGGCTTCAACTGCTGAGTCTTTAGAGAATAAAAACCAGGATAAAGAATTGAAATCAGAAGGATCTAGTAAAAGTAACACTACTGTGGAGAGAGATGAAACTGAGTCAGCCTCACCAATTTCTCAGCAACTTCCAACAGAATTGAATGATGATCTGGAATGTAACTCAGCTCTAGAAGACAAAACATTAAAAGAAGAGAGCTACATTGACCCACCTTCTCTAGGGGAAAAATCTGAAGAGCCTACGAGTGGAGAGGAACAAGGGTCTTCTGCAAACTGCTCTAATCATACATCCTCCCCCAAATCAGCTGTGGGTGAAAAGACTTTTCAGCTACCTGCTTTCTTTAGTGGATTGCGTGTGCGAAAAAAAGGTCAAGCTGTAGAGAGCAGAGAGACTCTCACAGAAATTAAACAGAAAGACAGTGATTTGGCTCTGCTTAAATTAAAACAACCTGTTAAGAAATCTATGATTACATCAGACCTTCTCACTACGAAGAAACCATCTGAGCCTAAAACAAGCCCTACTTTCCTGGAACATCTGTCTCAGTTGCTAAACATTGAGGTCCCTAAAGGTGAAGATAAAGTTGAAGATTCAGGTGAGGAGACCAGTGAGACTGAGACCAATGGTGAAGGCCAGGAGAGTGAAGCCACCGATAGAACAGAGTCCCTGTCCCCTGCTGAAGAAACAAAACCCAGCCCAGCTGAGTCAGCACTGGATGCGTTTAAAGCTTTATTTACAAGACCTCCAAAAAAAGAGATGACTGCTGATGCTTCAGAACTTGAAGCCATAAAACGCAAAATGAAAAATGAAAAAGAGTCCCTGAAAGCAGTATTTGAAAGATCAAAATCAAAGTACGGGAATGGAGCATCTGACCTGAAATCTGTAGGTTTGAATTATTTTTACATTCTAAGGTCTGGAGGTAAATGGATATAAAATAATTTCTGTTGATAACATGATTGGTCTGAACTAAAATAACTAAGATCAAAATCTGAGGCATGGCTTCTGATTTTGTGAGCCTTAAGTATTGGCTTCCCAACTCATGACATTCTTAACTTTTTGACAAGCCCTGGACACCTATAGTTCTGAATGAAGTCAGGGAGAGCTATAGATGATGAGCACTCTTGTAAACAGGGCAAAAGATCTCTCAAGTTGGGAATCCAGAAAAACTAAGTGCCTAATTTTAAAAAAAAATATGTCTGTAAATCAGTTGCTTTTCTTGCACTGAATGTAGATGCTCTCTGAATCAAAGTTAAACTACAAGTATTTATTTTATATATTTTCAATTTATCCCAAAAGAGTGAAAATCAGTTTTTATTTTTATTGCAAATATTACATTTCAAATCATACACCTAGACTGCAAGAAAACCTAAGAGGGTTATCGGATCAGCATCAGCCTCAAATCTGCACTTTTTTTAATGTCTTTCTTTCTAAAAGTATTTTTGTTTTTAAAGTCCTCGTAGAAAGAATTGTATTACAATTGATGATGCACTAGATAATAAGTTGTATACAATTTTCTGTGTGACTTACCCAAGAGAGAGGACTTAAAAGGCATTCTCTCTGTAGTTGTCCATAAACCTAAAGCCGGGTTTTATAAATACTTCCCCATGTTCAGCTGTACACAGGGCAGTTATCTCAGTGGAACCAATGGGACTATTTATCTGTTTATGGGTCTAGAGCCTCTGTCAGTATGATGTTTTGGATATGTGTATTTTAAGGGGGGAAGCTCCTACATGAGTATAAATTAATAATAAGGATTTAAACTGAAATGCAAATAAATATAAAGCCTCTTTGAGCTAAATGAGCAGAAAAATGACACATTCTTTGGTAATTACAGGTGTGCGCAGGTGTAATTAATTCATAACATTTGTATGAATAAGGGTTGTGTGATTGGATCCTAAACCTGAAGCTGGATACCTTAAACTAGAGTTTGTTTGCCTGCACTCAAAGTTTTGAGCTTCCATTCTCAAATCTGTGTGGGGAGTGGGCTGTTGTTGGTTTTTGTTTAAACAAAAACCACTAAGAACTTTTCCTGGGTAGGCTGACCTTGTAGGCACAACACCAGCCTACAGTAAATTTCCTGTGGTGAGGAAAATGTAGATGTATGAAGGGCATTAGTTATGCATGTGTGATAGTGACATTAGTGATGTGATGTCCTTCTCCCATCTCCCAAAGCAGTTGTTACATTCCTTTTCTTCTTTTTTTCATCCTCATTGAGGCTACGTCTGGACTACATCCCTGTTGGCAGAGGGATGTAAATGAAGCACTTCAAAAGTGCAAATGAAGCTGGGATTTAAATATCCTGCACTTCATTTGTATAATCACGTAATGGCGCTCTTTCGAAAAAGCGCTATTTCAAAATTGAAACTGCAGTCTAGACGCGGTTCTTTCAAAAATGAGATGCTTTTTCGGAAAGACCCTGTAAACCTAAAAAAATCCCAGCTTCAGTTGCATTTTCGAAGTGCTTCATTTACATCCCTCTGTCGACAGAGGAATGTAGTCTAGACATAGCCTGACTGAATTTCATGATAATGGAATGGAATCAAATTGATAATCATCCCAGTTCTAATTTTATAATGCAAATGAGTTGCAGTTATGGATGACCATTGCTTTAACTATACAGTACGGCTACGTCTAGACTGGCCACATAAGATGGAATAGGCATGCAAAGCAGGCAAGTCAGAATAGGGAAATCCGCGGGGGATTTAAATATCCCCCGCGGGATTTAAATAAACATGGCCACCGCTTTTTTTCTGGCTTGGGGAAAAGCCGGAAAAGAGCGTCTAGACTGGCGCGATCCTCCAGAATAAAGCCCTTTTCCGGAGGATCTCTTATTCCTACTTGCAAGTAGGTCCAATAACTTGCAAGTAGGAATAAGAGATCCTCTGGAAAAGGGCTTTATTCCGGAGGATTGCGCCAGTCTAGACGCTCTTTTCCGGCTTTTCCCCAAGCCAGAAAAAAAGCGGTGGCCATGTTTATTTAAATCCCGCGGGGGATATTTAAATCCCCCGCGGATTTCCCTATTCTGACTTGCCTGCTTTGCATGCCTATTCCGCCTTAAGTGGCCAGTCTAGATGTAGCCTACAAGTTTAGTTAAACACAGCATTTGCCATTTTTTGAATAGATTAATGTTGCAACATTTTAATCTTCTCTTTCATATTTTTAATAGCCTGACCTGAATCCCTCAGAGCAAGATGACAAAACTCCAGGGAGACTCCACGCTATTTGGCCACCACCTGAAATTAATGCTGGAAAAGAAAAAGCAGGGTTAAAATACACTGAAGCAGGTAAAACAAAAAGGTGAAAGACTTGCAGAATGAATCATTGTAGGTTTGTGAAATATAAAAATATAGTGATTGTTTACCTAATCTAAAAAGCTAACCACATTTTATTTTTTCTCAGTATGGCATTAGTTACCATGACCTGATAGTTTCAAATTATGTGCCTATCTGTGGGTTTAGATGACATCTAAAGAAAATATAACCTTTTGAAACTTCCTGTGGGGGAAAAAGTTCATTGTTTTTGATATACTAGGCCAAGCAAATTTCTGGTGCAACTTTGTTTTAATTAGTGGAAGAATGAAGATGGTCTAATATGTTAGAATTACTAGAGATTATTTTTTCAATTGTGGGGGTGGAGGATTAGAACAGATTTTGGATATTGAATCTTCAAGATTCTAATCTGATTTTATTTAGGCATCATTGCACTTATATTTTTACATTCAAAGTGGAAGTAAGAGTATTACTGTGTTTGGTTTTGTTACTCCCTTTGCATAAGAACATAGGAATAGCCATATCCAATCAGATCGCTGGTCCGTATATTTCAGTTTTCTGTGTACTGTATAACAAAACCCAGTACCAGATGGTTAAGCAGAAGATATGAGAAACCTAATGCTGGACATTTCAGGAATAGTATATCTGTAAGGGGATATTTCATCCTAGCCCATATCAACTAGTTGCTAGCTTTTGCCCTTAGCATGAGGGTTCATATCCCTTAAAATATATTTGTTGTATCTAAGGTGACTCTTGGCTAATCTCATTATTCATACATTGTGGGATTTTTTTAAGTACCTAAATGAAAGGCAATGGGAATGCTGGACATTTCAGGAATAGTATATCTGTAAGGGGATATTTCATCCTAGCCCATATCAACTAGTTGCTAGCTTTTGCCCTTAGCATGAGGGTTCATATCCCTTAAAATATATTTGTTGTATCTAAGGTGACTCTTGGCTAATCTCATTATTCATACATTGTGGGATTTTTTTAAGTACCTAAATGAAAGGCAATGGGATCTGTATTCCTAATTCACCCAGTTACTTTTGAAAAACTTCCCCATAAATGATTTATTAGGATTAATTGGGATTAAAAAGGATTAAACTATTGGTTTTTATGATATATTCTGGCAATAAATTCTGCAATTTAATTGTACATGTCTGGTATTAGGTTTATGTCTGTTGTCTTTTCAATTTCAATGAAGGTCCACCTGCTCTTGTATTACTAGAGACAGGTGTAATTGATTTACTTTTCCTCTATCATTCATTATTTTGTTTGTTTCTATTGTGTTCCCGCTTACTAGTCTGGGGATTCTAAATTACCCAGTCTCATTCTTTTCACTCTCTCCTGACAATCTGTTATTTCTGAATTATTAATTAGTAGTATTCTCCTACCTATGGGCAAATGATGAGGAGTTATTTCAGTATTTTGCCACAGCCAAAAAAGGGAAGGTAGTTACGTTATTAGAGTGGAAAATCGAGAACTAGCACTCAAGGTTTTATTTCTGGCTCTGCAGTTGTCTCTGGGCTGATGATTTAACCTCTCTCTACTTTATTGTACTGCTTTATAAAATGGATAAAAAAACAGGAGTATCTGCTACATAGAAGTGTTTAGAAACGTAACTGCACTTTTTTTTTCAAGTACTATCAGGAACACAGTTTTTAAGTCATTTGACCAGGGTTGTCCCGTCAATACAGGCAAAATAGGTGGTTGCCTAGAGCACCAAGATAAACGGCTGTTGAGGGCTTTGGAGGCGAGGGCGCCGATCATGCGTTTTGCCTAGGGCGCCAGTTGCCGGCAGCTCGTCTAGGGCCGCTCCTGCATTTGACCCACCATACTTCTTCATAATAAATTGGATATCACATTCTATCTAGTCAGTCGGAAAAATCAGAGCAACCCCTAGATGAACAGAACAACATAAATGCAAAGTGCAGTATTTTAGCTTTTGACAAGATTTCCACTCTCTTTTTCTGACATTATTTGATTATTAAAATTACTACATTACTACATTTTCTAACACAGAAAGTGAAAAGAGGACTTACTTCCTAGATGTCTACAGTGAAATATAATCTTTCATGACAATAGGGAAAAAACTTTCAATAAACATGTCAATAGGGAAAAAAACTTTCAATAAACAAAAGTTACATATTGTAATGGGAGTGAGATGAACTAAGTAATGCTTTACTGACATGTGAATAGAAAAAGGGGACTTGCTTAGATCCCAAATATATTGTTGTTTGTGACTCAGATGTTCTTGGTGGCAGTGTAATGAACATGCTGATAGCATTCTAAGCCTTATTTTTATAGAGTCCAAATTCTACAGTCCCATTTTTCACTCAGTGTCTGGCAGAGATAGGGATGTAGATGAAAACAGACTGCTTGGTGATTCAGTTGTGATGAAATGTAAGTGATGTTTTTACAGGAGTTGGGTGAAGGTTCTGTGTATAACATCTGTTGAGAATGCATGCTAGATTTATTACTAATTTGTTAGTAGATTCTTGGTTCTTTTTGTTCCGTATTTACATTTGGATGCTAGAGAGAGAGCAGTGGTGGACTGAAGTGAAACTGTGTGACTGGTCCAGACCATAATGAACTTTGCTTACAACCACTACTGAAGCTCATCCACAAACTCCTGCCAAGAGCAGATTGCTACTGGTGCAGAAGACACTGCACCTGGACTAGTAACAATCAGTTTAATTGAAACCTGCTTTGAATATATACAGCGCATACCCAAGAGTTCACTGATTTCTTGTTTGCTTTCAATTTAAGGGGATACTGTTGATCTTTAAGCAGTAGTGTGGGACTCTAGTTATTTGATAGAATGTTTCTTTGCAGAGAACTCATTCCAACAGCTACAACCACATACAAAGTTCTTTCTTTCAGAACCTAAGTTTAAACACTGTCTGGTGGTAGGGATCTTTCAGATATTGATTCTCCTCCCTGATTTTTTTTTTTGGGGGGGGGAAGAGTGGGGAAAATTGTTCCTTTCATTTATAGTCAGTCACAACTCGAGTCTAGCACAGTATTAAAATAACTTATTTTGTTTAGCAATTGATCAGTACGTAGTTTGTTTTGCTTTTGTTCTGAATTTGTATTTCTGCCACTAAAGCTCCAGCTGCCACAACAATAGAAGGCAATATGGAAACAATAATTGTGTTATATTATTTGAATTTTACTTACTTAAGTTAGGATTTGTTTCAGTTTAAAAATAAAAAAATATAAAAAATGCTTTTTAAAAAGGCAATCTTTCTAAAAGCACACCAAAAGATTAAAAATAAGAACAAAGTGCACCAAAAAGTCAAAAATAAAGTTTTAAGCTAGCAATGTAGGAAAATGATTGTCTGGCTAAGTACAATTCAATGTAGTTGCTAATTGCTAGCCAACCAATCTTTCTCCTACATTGCTAGCTTAAAACTTTATTTTTGACTTTTTGGTGCACTTTGTTCTTATTTTTAGTCATTTGGTGCACTTTTAGAAAGATTTTTTTTAAAAGTGTTTTTTATTTTTATTTTTAGTTTTAGTTTTTGGTCGTAAATCTAGTGTGTTTCAACTAATAAAAAGTCCAAGGTTCGTTTTGATCCTCTTATATATTTTGAGCTAGTCTTGTTTCCAAAAATTTTTTGGAAGGGCTTCTGAAAAGTTTGAGGTGACTGGAATTCGTGTAAGGGTGTTCACGGTGCTAGATGTTATAGAAACACAGAACAAACCTACCATCCCAAATATAAGTGAGACAACAGATGAGCACAATTGAGAAAAAGGGTGGGGAGAGAAGGCAACGAACAAAAAGAGCTGTCATGGAACACCAACTTCCCAGCTATGGGTGCTGTACACATTATAGCACAAGTAGGCTGTCAGGGGGCAATTGAGGAAGCTGTGGATGTTGCTGGGGATTGCACTTGATAGATAAGGGTAGTGGGGAGCTGTTTGTTGGAACTCTTCTTTGTTAGTTTTTCGTAACCTTAAAATAATATTTTAAAATGTATGTGCAAATGTGGGGTGGGGAGCTAAGCCTGGGCTGTGCCCAGGGGTTAAACATTGTGGGGAGTTACATGGGAAGGAGGGCAAGCAGAGGAGTGGCGGGGGGGGTTACACATGTTGGGGGAGAGCAGGGTTGGCTGGGGATGCTCGGGACAGGCTAGGGAGAATCGCTGGCTGTGGAGAGCACTGGGCTGGAGGGGCAGCCGGTGGCAGCCATGTGGGTCTCCTCTGGGAGAGTGGGAATATTATGGGCTGGAGCAGAGCACTGGGCTGGCAGGGCAGCTGGTGGCAGTCACGCGAGTCTCCCCTGGAGGGCGGGAGTATTTTGGATTGGGGCACGTCTATGGCAGGACGGAGGTCTGCTTGTGGTGTGCTCTTACCTGCAGCACCACGCAGCCAGCTCCCCTCCGCCACAAGCCGAGGCTCACCCGCAACGGCTTCCCTGGGCAAGCCCGCCAGGCGGGGGGGGAG